GAGAGAGAGAGAGAGAGAGAGAGAGAGAGAGAGAGAGAGAGAGAGAGAGACTGTGGCCGCAAATGGCCCGCAGAGGAAATGGAATATAAACCATTATCTCGCTTCCTGCAGGACTCGCCACCTCCGCTCGTGCTCCATCCCGCACTCCCGCTGCACAGCCTGTTATCACTCAAGACTTTTGCTCTCTTATTTAGAATAAGTTGAAACGGCTGACTTTTCTTCTTGCAGCGGCTGTTTCCTTCGCCGAATGAGCGGAAACAGTTCTGGTTTAACCCAATCCGAGCGTGAGTTTGGAAGTCAATTCCTCTTACAAATACAGGGAACATAGATATTTTTAACCGTGACCTGTAATAATTACAGAGTACATAATCGAGTTGGCGAGTTGCCGCGAGTAAGGCACGAGTTGGGATAAATTTCTTGAGAGTGTTTGCGATTTTGACGCGAGTTTCGCGAGTTGTCGCGAGTTGTTGCGATTTTGACGCGAGTTTTCGCGAGTTGAACGCGAGTTGAACGCGAGTTGAACGCGAGTTGAACGCGAGTTGAACGCGAGTTGAACGCGAGTTGAACGCGAGCTAGGCGCGACTTGGGCGCGGCCAAGTGTACAACGAGTTGGCGTGTGAGGGACCTCTCGCCTGTAACGCTGGCTGCGCCGTAGCGCTAGCTGCCATTTGCGACTGACAAGGGAAGAGTTGACGTTTCCCGTCGATGTGCCGGGCTCTGCAGATTCGGATGCCTGAAGTGCTTCGTCCGCTGGCGACAGCGAGTTCTGCAATCGTCAGACGAGCGCATCGAGTATCGGAGAAATGTTTATCCATAGTAGAGAAACAATCTTTCACCCTTACACAGTAAAGTTCCTGACGAACAACTATACTCTTTGTAACGCGCAAAGGATTTGAAACATTTGTCAAACAAATTTTAAACAAATTATCTGTCTGAATTTCGAAGGGCCTGGTTTGTATCATTACAACCTGGTCCTTCCTCATAACGGACCGGGGCTGTTCGCAATATGAAGAAAAGCCAGATCCTTTGTACGTTACAAACCCAATGCTTAGTAATACATACGAACTGAATAACACGACAGTTGTTTGTGAAGAACTGTAAGAGTTTACACTTTTAACCGGTCATCCTGCCCTCCCTCACCCCCTCAAATCCACTGAAGTTATCGCAGCGCAGCAACTTCATATGTTGTTTTCAGAAGAGCTGTAGGAAAAAAGAAATAATGATAATACATTTTTATGTTTTTTGTCAGAATGTGTAGCCTAAGCGGTACCACCCCCTTGAGATATCATCTCCCCAGCCTAATCAAATTCGTTTCCTCCCGACCATCTCCCGCCCTCGGCCCGCTGGCGCAGATTGGAGAGTGTTTTGCGTCGGAGAGAAGTTTTCCTGCTCGGCCTGGCAGCGGCGGAGTGTTTGCCGCGAGCGCGTGCGGTGGGGGTCGGTGCTGCAGCCTGGCCGGGTCCAGCCTCGGGTCCAGCCCAGCGGCCCGCCTCGCCCTGGGGCGACAAGATGCACACTTTTCAAGAAAGTCCAGCATGTCTCTCCCCCTGCCAGGACAAGTTTATTTTTCTGACTGCGAGTATACGAGTGCGAAGTTGAGATATGGCTGCACTGCTTGTACCCTCCCCCACGCGGCCGGGCCGGGATGTAGCGTCCCCGCCTACCCGCGTGTCCCCGGCGGGCTAGAGGGTTACGTAATAGGACCCCCAGGGCGCAGCACGTCGCCGGAAGCACGACTTACACATAGGCTACCCACACCGCTACGCCCCGAGGTCATCTTCGGGGCCGTCCTCGAAGGCCGCCCTCCATGCCGCCCCCCAGGCAGCCCTCAGACCGCCCTCAGCTTGCCCTCAGGCCGCCCTCAGCCCCAGGGCACCCCCAAGGTCACTCATGCCGCCTCGAGGCCACCCGATGCAAAAATTTCCCCCGTATAAGAAGTACCCGTACCCCGCAACTACACGGGATCGGCTGCTTCCCCGGGCGCCACCACTCACCCAGAAGTTAATGTCCTTGAGCAGGTCGTTGTTTAGCTTGCCAACGTCGCTCAGGTTGACGACGTAGTACGTGGCGTTGGTCTTGGCGTCGACGGTCGGCTGGATGGAGAAGGTGAGGAAGACGGGGATGCAGAGCAGCGGGCAGATGAGGTAGCCCGAGAGGATGGCGTAGACGGTGGTGCGCATGTTGCACCACTCGTGGTTGCGCGCCGGGTGCGCCACGGCGATGTAGCGCCACACCGCCAGCGTGAGCGTCAGCCAGATGGAGATGGTGTGGAACACCTGTGGCGAGAGCGACAGAGAGATAAAGATAAACACTAAACTTTTATTAACTTCGTTTTTGGACGCAGCCTACGTGTTTCTCTGTGCACGCTCTATTGCATGATATTTTAAGCGCAATTATGAACAAATTTGGAAATATATTTGCACATATGAACAATTTTGTTCATAACTGCATTTAAAATAGTTCGCAATAGAGCATGCACACAGGAATACGTTATAAAAGTACATAACAATTTCGTGTGTATTATGAAAAGTACAGGAGATGCGTCGTCCCGTGAAGCTCGTCGGGGATTGAGCGTCAGCGCGGCGTGTTTAGAGGGGGGGGGGGGGGGGTGCCATTGCCAACCTTATTCTCGGAATGAAAAAAACGTCATCTTTCAGAGCGCGCGAGACTGAACTGCGTGCCTTTCATTTTAGGGAGTCATATATATTTGGGGGATGGCCCAGTGTCACGTGTGAGGGACTCGCGTCGCATGGGATGTCGCAGTAGCACACGTGTACGGGGTTCGCGCTGGTTGATCCCACACTCCACCAGTTGGGGGCTGCTTCGTTGACTGAGGGGGTGGACCCTTTTTCGTGTGACGAAAGCTCTGCCCCATATCCAGTAGAGTGGGTCGTAGGAAAAGGATTTTGGAAATTGAAAACGTAATAGTGCGGAAAAGTTGCCCTGTCCGATGACATATTCAACGCATTTTAATTTTTTGAGATCGGATAATATTTTCCGATCCCGCAGAGCGTTCAAAGTTTTGCATGGTTCTCTTATGGGGAAAGGGCTCAAAAAGTGAAATTTCTGATTTTTGGCTTTCCAGCAAACATTTTTCGAAAACGAATCTCAGAAATGCAATCTACGCGAAAAAACGCGTTTAGCGACGTGCCACACTTGAAATTTGAGTGAAGCGTTCGGAGTCATTCAGGTGCCACTTTAACTTAAAACTTACACAAAAATGGCTTTGCTGGCCTAAATTTGCACTTACGACCGACTAAACCCTTCATTCAAATTTCAAGTGTGGCACATCGCTAAACGCGTTTTTTCGCGTAGATTGCAGTTTTGAGATTCGTTTTCGAAAAATGTTTGCTGGAAAGCCAAAAATCAGAAATTTCACTTTTTGAGCCCTTTCCCCATAAGAGAACCATGCAAAACTTTGAACGCTCTGCGGGATCGGAAAATATTATCCGATCTCAAAAAATTAAAATGCGTTGAATATGTCATCGGTCAGGGCAACTTTTTCGCACTATTACGTTTTCAATTTCCAAAATCCTTTTCCTACGACCCGCTCTAATATCCAGGCAGGCGGGCGCCGAGGGGTCCTCCACTCTCCAAGTGGGTGTACAACGAGTTGCGTGAGTGTCCGCGAGTATTCGAGAGTATAAGCGAGTATCCGCGAGTTTATGCGAGTAATGGCGAGTATCCGCGAGTATAAGGCGAGTATTTGTCGATTTTTTCGCGAGTTTTCGCGAATTTTCCGTGAGTTGTCGCGAGTTGTCGGGAGTTGTCGCGAGTATCATGCGAGTATTTTTCCTCGTGTACAACGAGTTGGCGAGTGGGGGACCCCTCGGCGGGCGCTGCGCTGCCGCGCTTCTAGTACGCCCCGTTTGGCTTGCGAGTGGCGCTTCCTTTGTGCTGTGCATGCCCCCGCTGTACAAGTCGTTATCAACCGGGCTACAAGAGATGACATGACGTGACCACCTCACTGGCTGCCACCGCCAAGTGTTCTGATTTTTTTTTTCCCTCATCCCCCCAGGGAGGTGAATAAACAGGGAAATAAGGGTTGCGAGTAAGGGGACAACGCTTTCCGTCAAAATGAGACGTTAAACAGAAGTGGGTGCTCGTGCGTGTGTCTGAGCATCTGCAAGGGGGGGGGGGGAGGGGGAGAGAGAGATGGGGACAATACACTCACACCTCACACCCGTAAATAAAGTGTTCAATTATTCAACGCTTCAAATAAAGGTTCAAGTCCCAGTTAAACACTATAGCAGTTGCAGGTGCTGCTATGATTTGCACATTTTGAAGAGTAGAAGAATTGGACACTCCATTCATCAGTGTAGCCATGCTGCCCCCAAGCGCTCGGCTCGTATTTGGTTCGGTATGCGCCTGGCGGCCCAACGTTACTAGACTACGCGGCACAGCGGGGGAAGGGGTGACAACACATAACATGCGTAATCAATTAGCACTCGATGGTCCCCGCCCCCAGGGCCAGGCCAGGCGGGGGCGGCTCCTGGCAGGCCCTGAACAGGGCCGGGCTGTCTATGTTAATGTAAGCGGTGAAAATGGAATTTGCTGCAGGGACCACACGCTGGGCTATCTACCTTTCCTAGCACGAAACTTTCCCGCACCCATGGCATGGTGTTCAAAAGCGCAAGTGATGTGTAGCCATCGAAATCGCAATTAATTTATCAAGTGAAGCTTCTTTTCGCTATGGGCTAAACTCGAAAGTATCACATTCGTGTAACAGTGTAATACACTTGATCTCATCTTGGTTTGCCTTCCACATAGAGTCACTTTTTTGGGGACGAAAGTCAATTTATGTATTGGGGAAAAAAATGGTAGTATGCAAATGTCGACTGCTGGTGTTGGATTGAAATCTCGTGACGCCTCGGCGGTGCGCCGCATATTGAGCAGGCCAGCATGGTGTCATGCCGTCATTTGTGAATGAGCGCGCGTTTTTTGCTCCGTTTCGTTGTTGTTTTTCTGCGCGATTCCTGTTTTAGTTCCCCCTCCCCCTTTTGCGTGCTGACGATTGTTTCGGCCTTCCCTGCAGATTTATTTCCCTACCCCAACTGGATGTAGACCGGGTCGTTTGCCATTCGTACGCGGTTCCAATCATCCTTGTGCCCGCCGCCACTGGACCCAGAGTAGATTATGAGTCGATACAGAAAGTGATAGGCGCTCTCGATATTAACGGTCACATCGGCCAAAACTCTGCCATTTTCAACGTCACGTTTGCTGTCACGTGGATTCATCCAAATAAAGTGACATCTCCCTATAGCTATTTAATTCAGAATAATACCCCTTTATGAATTGTGCCACTCGAATATACGTCGTCCATTGGCCAGGGTTTTAGAACAGTTCTCTCTCCCAGATTCACAATAAAAGAATCATCAGTCTTTAGGAAATCTTTTAAAGATTCTCTCCCTCCCAAGCCTGAGAAACCTGTCTCCCATTTGTGATTTTATAGTTGTTCCGGAAAGGAAAAGAACAACACACGCCTTTTAATAAAACAGGCAGGAAGGATATTATGGTGCCCAGGGCGTCTGACTAGTGCCTTGTTAATAATTTAAAAAAACTGTGATCAAAACTGTTTAATATGATGTGAAAGCGAATGCTATACCTTGCATATTATACTGGAACGTGTAACATTTGTGCAGTGTGTGGTGTACCCATTCGTCTTGTAATATTCAGAGGAAAGTGGGAGGGTAAGAATGGGCGCTCTTAGGAATAAAGCTTAGGGGATATGAGCTTGTAGGGGTTGCGCGCGTGGCGCAGAATCGTCATGCGATTATCTGGCATTACTTTAATTTGACCCAACAGCGGACCAACTTCTAAACTGGAAAACGATTAAGATTGGTGGAGTTTTCTGCCTGTTCGCGAAATCAGGAGCCAGCAAAAAGTTGTCGCTTGCTCGCCCGCTCACGCGCGCACCCGCCAACCGTTCTGCCGCCGTGGCTGCTTTCCAATCTCTAGTCTCGAACTTGAGTGCCATACCAACTGGACATAGAAAGTTCAGCGCTCAAAATTGTTGGAATTTGCAACAGTATATCAAAGAGGAGGAGGGATCTCGAACTTTTAATAATTACTTTATGACAACTCTGTGAAATAATCTTTGGTAGTTTTCTATATTTTTAAAAATAATTTTGATGAATGGCGTTTCCCTTCACTACTGCCGTCCCTTAATTTGTCATAACTGTCGTAAACTTTCGAGAAATTTCGTAAAAATTGTCCATATCGAACCTGCAGTTGTATCCCCGTCATGATTATAACTACACATTATATTTTTCGTAATTTTTAGTTTTGACATTTGACATCAATTCGCTGTTCGACTTTTTAAACTTTACAGTCCCTGTTGTAATCCAAGATAAACAAAATTTGTTGTAGATTATTGGCGAACTTTTTTCTAACAGTATGTATATACTGGGGGGTTTCCGTGGGACTCACCTGGCCGAAGTTGGCGTGGAACAGCACGAAGACGGTCCACGGGTACGAGTACTTCTCCGAGACGGGCCGCGTCAGTAGGTACATGTGCAGCGCGAACGGGATGTACTCGAGCATGACGAGCAGGTCGGCGACGGCCAGGCCCGTCAGGATGGCGTTGGTCGGCGAGGCCATCTCGCGGCGCGTGAGCACGGCGATGTTGAGGCCGTTGGCCACCGAGCCGAACAGGCAGACGAGCAGGCTGATGATGCCGTGCGCGCCGCGGTAGCGCGACGCGAACCACTCCAGCCCCGCGCCGCAGTACTCGGCGCCGCCCCCGCCAGGGTCCGTCGCGTTGGTCACGTTGAACAGGTCGCCGGCCGTGGTCACCTCCATGTCGTCCATGGCCGGGGTGGGGCTCGGCGCTAGCATCCTCGGCTCATCGTCGTGCTGCCCGCTGCAGGGCTCCCCCTCCCCGACCCCCCGGGGGACCCGCCGGGGTCCACCTGCAACACAGAGCGGAGAGAGAAGGAGTCAGGAGGGCCGGTGTTTTGTTGACGGCCAAGAGGGATGCCTTCCGGGTGGGAGAGAGCGCCCATTGTGCGCCGGACCATGCGTCATTGAGAGAGAAAGAGGGAGAGAGAGAGAGAGAGAGAGAGAGAGAGAGAGAGAGAGAG